CAGGTGCTAACATGAAAGTTGTAGGTAATTGTCTCAGCTTTCTTGTGTAAAGAATGCAGCTCATTTGGACTTCTAGAACTCCAGATATCGGCCAAACACTGAATAGTGCTCGGGCTGGAAGACAGATTCAGACTTCTTTGTTGTTGCTCCAATGTAGACTTGAAAATGACCCTTTTAGATCTTGGGCTCCATATGAAAGTTGTAGGCCTATGTCTTACCTTTCCATCCATATAAAGTGGACCTAAATCTGAGATCTACAAATTTAGATATGATCCAATTGCCGAACAGTGTTCCGGTATAGACTGCACCGGCATCTCTTTTCGGAGTTTAGCCATCTCTTTGTCCTTTCAATTTTAGTTCTTAAATTCATCAATCAATCCTTTTATTTATATGATAGGCTTGCGTTTAAAATGAACGTTTACCACAAATTAAAGGTATCTTATATTATTAGATATATTATTATAAAACATGCTTTAGTTAAGGAGTTATTGATACTTCAAGTGCAAAATGATGATATAAAACCTTGATAAAAATGCACTTTTAAGTACTAATCACGGACACTGTGGTTATTTGATGGTTAGGATTAGTTATACGGTGGATCCGTTAACTAACCAATATTAAGAGGAGATAAATATTCAGAATATAAATTAATGTTTCATTTCCATAATCAATTCTGATTTCTGTAGGTGAATATATGCTTGCAACCAAGATTTATTTTCTTGATAAGTTTTGATTTTAATTGATTTTATTTGCTAGTTTAATTGTTGTAATAGTTTAGATAATCATAAACCAAACCCCCCCAATTACATAACATATAGCATAAAAATTTGAACTAAACCTTCCTCGTGGGATCAACCCCTTGCTTGCTCTACATTATCTTATGTGTTTTAAGCTAGGGTAATTAATTTGTGCGACCGCGACATCGCAACACACTCGTATCCTTCTGCCTTTTCACCTCTAACACCTTCCATTGTGCTTCTTCTAGAGTAGAGATATTTTTCTGGCTCTTGAAATCCATTCTTAACAATGTCCTAAAGATTTTGAGACCTGAAGAGTGTTTCCATTTTCTTCCCCACAAATCATAGTTGCTACCATTAAAAATGGGAAGTGGCATAAAGATAGATTGTAATGAATTTGTGGTGGCCATATAGACTCTAATGCCCACTTACAATCAATTGGGCTTTGACCACTCTTTGAGGATGATGGTAGTTTAGGAGATTATAGTGATTAGGGGTTGAAATAAAAGTAGTTTGATAGTTAAAATTTTTAGTTGTAATTTGGAAATGGTTGAAGGATATGGGAAAGAAAAATCTTTGTTGATAGGAAATATAATACAAGAAGGAGAGTTTTAGGACAAAGGTTTTAAGCTTAGCATAGTTTTTAGTTTACCTTACAAGTGATGGTTGCATGGCTATTTATAGCCTTCTTAACCAATCTAAATGAAACAATCTTTCCAGCAACAGAACTTGCTGAAATCTTAGCTAATACACTAGAATATTCCAAAGTTCTTTGAATTGTGGACAAGAATTCTTTCATTTCTAGAATATTACTAGTGTTTGTTTGATTTCATTATACCTTTCCTAACTTAAATTAGCACTAAATTATAGTTTGCAGTGTTTTCTTGAATTGATCTCTAAAATCTTCTTTAGGAGTATTCATAATTTAACAAAATGATTGGAATGCTACTATAGCTAGCTCTTGGTGAAATTAAGGTCAACAAGAAAACTTGTTTCCAAAGAGATGACTACAAAGAAACAACCTAGCTTGTAGTTTTTCTTAGTTAAGCCGTTTGAGAACCCCTGTAAAGAACTATTCCTTATTAAAAATAAAAGTAAATTAGTATATGTGTTTTGCTTGTTTAGTTTATAGAGTGAAACTATTATAGGAATATATAATAAAGGTGAAGTCTTATTTATTTCTTTTATAAGAATAAAATAAAGATATGATTATTCTGTTGTGTATACTAGATCGAAAGCAAACACAAATAAATATAAACAAGCAGATTTACATGGTTCTCTAAAATTGGGTACGTCCACGGAGGCAGCAGATTGTATATTATTGCAGGAATGATACAAACACTTAACTCAACTCAGTACAATCTCGCAAAACCTAGTGTTTTACTCTAACACTCGGTGTTTCTTTCAAATCTGCACTTTCTCGCTCTCGCAGTTGCATTTGCATTACCGCACACTTTCTCTGCACTTGCACTCTCTATATATGTCACTCTCTCGTTTCTGTCTCCATTTATAGGAGAAAATGAGAGCCTTGACAACAACCCATGTGCAACCTAATAAATGCCAACCAACTACTACCTACTACAATAACAAAGTCATGGTGGTTGTCGCACGTCCCTTACGTGGCAATTCAATAATTTTTCATTCTGTTTGTTACTTTGCTTGATTGGTTCATTGGAGTCGCCACCTAGTATTTAATGGAGGGCTACTAGGAAACCCGGGTGCACTGGTCGTTGCCAAAAATTCAAGATTAGGGACTGGTTGTGGCCAGAGAAGGTGTTAACACCTCTAGCGCACCCTACCTGAACTAAGCTGTTTTGCAGTTCAATGTGATCTAAAATATTAATTAAATTCTAAGGTTTTAATAAATAAGTTAATTAATCCCACAAATATGTATAGAAACATGTTCTTACACTTTCATGGAAAATATAATATGATTTTATTTATCCTTGAGATATTTAACTATATTCAAATTAAACAATTAATTCTTTCTTTTTTATATTTATAATTCAATAACACAAATAAAAATACAAATAGGCACGAGTTATTGATATTTCAAGTGCAAAATGATGATATAAAACCATGATAAAAATGCACTTTTAAGTACTAATCAATTACAAAACAAGAACTCAAAATAAAAGTAATCTAAAAACACCTATCAACGTCCGAAAATTACAAAAGAAAACCCCGGGAACAGTGCTGGGTGGTTGTTGTGCATGGAACACTGGCGGTGCGTCTCTCCCACGCGCTGCCGCAAAAATCCATTGCAGCCGGGTGAGTCTGGCTCAGCTTCTTTTCCTCTTCCCTTCCATGCTGACTGTGAGGACCATCGTTAACAACAAAAAAAAAACAACCAGAAAGAATGCAACGAACAATAATCTGTTCTCGATCCATTTCCTTCTTTCAGATCTGTTTCACTGCAGATTTTTTAATTTCACCTTCATCTCCTTTGCTTCAGGTCGCTGGCGGCAAGGAGGGGCTGTTGGCATATAGGTTTCTTTCACGTCTTTGCTTTTGTTGCCGGAGGCTATTCGGTCGAGGGAGGGGGAGGCTTGTCCGATGCTCTCTGGTTTCTCTAGCTGGCTTCTTAGTCTATTATTCTTTCCTTCTTCTCTGCTGCACATCTGCTATGGAGTGTGGAGTGACTCATCAGCGACACACATGGCCGGACACCCGCTGGGCCGTCCTTCTTCTTTGACCGGCGATGAGGCGAGCAAAGGGGTGCTGGTGATGGAGAGGGACGATCCGTGAGGTCTGGCCGGGGTAGGAGCCAAAACGGGAGCGGCCTGGGGGTCCTTGGTTCTGTAAGGAAGATGGCGTTGGGAGTGGTCGTTAGGTCTGGTCTGTGTTTTGACTAGAGAGAGGGCAAAGACAAGGAGGTGGTCTCTGATTTTTCTTTTCGAAGGGGTGAGCTGCGACTAGATCAAGGGAAATGGGGAGACGGTGATGGGCAGATGACGGGGTTGGTCTTTTGAGCTCTTGGTCAAGGCAGGGGGGCGGTTGCAGGAGAAGAAGGGGATATGCTTTTTTTTTCCTCAAAAGGGAGAGGGGCCTTCGTTTTTTCAAATAGAGGGGGGCAGCTGTGTGTGAGCTGAGGGAGCAATGCTCTCGGCTGGCAAGAAGAAGGAAAAAATCCCAGCGGGGTAGGGGCTCCGACGACTATTTGGAGAAGAGATAGATTTTAGGTTTCCTTCTTTTTTTTCTGGTCAAGGGTCGCCCCTCTGTGGAGAAGAATAAAAATAAAAATGTTTTGTTTTCATGCATACGGCCTAGTCTCTCCAATATATATATATAATCTCATCATATTTTTATAGTACAAAGAAAATTTCAAAAAATATATGTTTTAGTATGTATTTTGGCTTTAATAACCAGTTTATTCAAGCTATGAGAACTAAGCCAATATTTCAAAAATTCCAAAAAAATTATTTTGTTTTCTTTTAATATTCGGGGTTACGATCTTATACATAAGATGTATTCCAGAAATTAAATTCTTGTGTTTAGGTCAGAGTTACCTAATAAGATAAGGATCTCCTTACCGAAGAGGACTTTTCTTAAACCATACCAATAACTAAAACACAATAAGAAACATTAGATTTTATCAGACAATAAAACAATACAGCTTACCTTAGGTAGGGCGTATTTGGGGTACTAATATCTTCCCTTTACACAACTAGTCTCCGTACCCAATCTCTGAGACCAGTTAAGGTTCTTAGTGACCAAAATACTAGGTGGCGACTCTCAATCCATTTTCCACCAATAAAAGATTAGATTTTCTTATCCCCCTATATTTTCTAGATAGATATTATACAACATTTCCAGATAAAAGTGTAAAACTCGTCGCGATACCGCACATGTCGCACGTCAAAATTTAATCAGCGCGATGTCGGCTCCAATGATTTTTCATTGTTATTAGTTAATTTGATCTTGTTGGATTCGTTAGGAGTCGCCACCTAGTATTTAATTAAAGATTACTAGGAAACCCGATTGTACTGGTCTTGTCAGAGATTCACACGTAAAGGACCAGTTGTGGTTAGGAAAGGTATTAGCACCCCTAACACACCCTACCTGAGGTAAGCTGCTTCATGGACTTGATGTGTTAAAGAAGTTTTAAAAATTTTGTCTTTTCATCAGATTTTAGAAATACAACTTCCGTACAAGTTTGTACTTCTACACAATGATCCAATCAAAATACAAACACACACATGCATTTTTTTATTCTTTTTCTTTTTTCTTTTCTTTTGTTTTTTTTTACATCCATATTTACATATTACAAAACAAGAATTAAAAATAAAAATAATCTAAAAACAACTATCAACGTCCGAAAATTACAAAAGAAAACCCCGGGAATAGTGCTGGGCGCTTGTTGTGCATGGAACACTGATCCACGCGCCGCCGCAAAAATCCATGCAGCCGGGTCAGTCTGGCTCAGCTTCTTTTCCTCTTCCCTTCCATGCTGACTGTGAGGACCGTCGTTACTTGCAAAAAAACAACCAAAAAGAACGCAACGGACAGTAATCTGTTCTCGGTCCATTTCCTTCTTTCAGATCTGTTTCACTGCAGATTTTTTAATTTCACCTTCATCTCCTCTGCTTCAGGTCGCTGGCGGCAAGGAGGGGCTGCTGGCGTATAGGTTTCTTGCACGCCTTTGCTTCTGTTGCTGGAGGCTGTTCGGCCGAGGGAGAGGGAGGCTTGTCCGATGCTCTCTGGTTTCTCTGGCTGGCTTCTTAGTCTGTTATTCTTTCCTTCTTCCACTGCAGATCTGCTATGGAGTGTGGAGTGACTCACCAGCGACTCACGTGGCCGGACACCCGCTGGGCCGAGTAGATCGTCGACCCGTCCTCCTTCTTTGACCGGCAGTGAGGCGAGCAAAGGGGTGCTGGTGGTGGAGAGGGACGATCCGTGAGGTCTGACCGGGGCAGGAGCCAAAATGGGAGCGGCCTGGGGGTCCTTGGTTCTGCAGAGAAGATGGCGCTGGTAGTGGCCGTTGGGTCTGGTCTGTGTTTTGACTAGAGAGAGGGCAAAGACAGGGAGGTGGTCTCTGGTTTTTCTTTTCGAAGGGGTGAGCTGCGGCTAGATCAGGGGAAATGGGGGGAACGGTGATCGGCAGATGACGGGTTTGGTCTTTTGAGCTCTTGGTCAGGGGAGGGGGGCGGCTGTAGGAGAAGAAGGGGATAGGTTTTTTTTGTCTCAAAAGGGAGAGGGGCCTTCGTTTTTTCAAATAGAGGGGGGCAGCTGTGTGTGAGCTGAGGGAACAATGCTCTCGGCTGGCAAGGAGGAAAAAATCCCAGCGGGGTAAGGGGCTCGCTCCGACGACTATTTGGAGAAGAGATAGATTTTAGGTTTCCTTCTTTTTTTTCTGGTCAAGGGTCGCCCCTCTGTGGAGAAGATTAGGTTTTGTTTTTAGGGTTTTCTTTTTCTTTTTCTTTTTCTTTCACAATTTTCCGTCTCTCCCTCAATTCCCCGAAAATTTCTTTCCCCCTTTTGGTTTATTACCTTTACTTTTTTGTAAATTTTGATTTTTTTTTAATTTTTTTGTATTTTTTTTAAAATAAGTAATATCAACATCAACTCAATGAGAAAAATCAATGATTTTAAAAATAACGCGTTAAAAGTTGAACACGTTCCAAATATCTTTTAAATTTAAATTCTTCTGAGATGATGTTGAAAATGCTAAAAATGATGCAAATATGTTTAAAAAT